ATTCTATTCCAGGTAGTATTTATGATAACCTTGCCTCAACTGACATTTCCTAGCCATACTTTTCCATTATATTTTCCTCACTTTTATTTATTGAGATTTAGAATTCTAATCAACAGTAAATATAATGCTTGTTAGGAAATACTTAAAACTGGACTTTTGACTTAATTGACAAAAGTAATATTTTTTTTCTTCAACTACCTGAATAGAGTAATCATTTTTTTTGCAAAAACTGTCGGTTGTAGTCTGGACTCCATTATGCAAAACATTGATTCAACACACAGTTTATCCCATTAGAATACTGCCCTTCATGAAGGATAATTATGGATATGTTTAAATTTAATCTACTTACTTGGAACCAGTGTAATTAATTTACTCTACTCCTTCTCTACACTTTCAAGCTACTGTATGAAAGGACCATCTGCTGACTGACCACCAAAATCAGGTGCTTCTCTTAGATTTTCACATTATTTTTTCACCTCATTTAGTTCAAGCTGTGTGTTCTAAGAGAGAGGTAGCAGTTTTCATGTAACAGGTAGAAACTGGCCCACCATTACACCACACTTTCAGTATGATGTCATCATCAATTAGCTCTCAGCCAATCAGAACACATCTTATTCACTATATAACATGGAGGCTTTCAGAAAGAAGAGGCCTTTTGTTTGACTTCGGTCCTGTTTGGTTTTGGTTATCGCTTCGCTTCGCTTCGCTTATTGTTATTGCTTCGGCTTCGGCTTCGGCTTCGGCTTCGGCTTCGGCTTCGGCTTCGGCTTCGTTTGTTGGTTTGTTTTGCTTTGTTTGTGTGTATTTTCGTATAGCTTCGGCTTTGTTGTTTTGTTGGATTTACGTTAGTTTCTTTGTACCTTCGTTTGTTTGTGTGTTCATCCTTGTTTTGTCATCATCTTGCCCCAGTGTTACATGTTCAACTTTGGTGTTCTTTTTGTACCCTGCTCCTGTTTATTACTCTTGTTTTCCCTTATTTGTCTTTCTGGTTCACTTGTGTTTTTGTGTGAACTTTTGTATATAAGGTTAGTTTAGGTTGTTGGGTACACTTACACAGTTGATTTTTGTATTAGTCACACTAGTTAAGTACGGGTGAGTGCCGTTTGTCTTGTATGGTTTTGGGTAGTCAGTGCAGGTTAGCTAGGGTGTTGAAGACGCTGAAAACCGTTTGTTTCGGGGTTTCTTTTGTAGTCGGATTAGCTTTCCCTCACTGTCCTAGCCAGTTCCATTTTTGTTTATTTTCTTTCCTTTGGCACCACTCTAGTTCCTTACCCTTGTTATCATACTTCCTAGTCCCTCACCAAAACCCCCCTGCTTCCAAAAGAATTATCCTAAATGTTACACCCCTTTACCCCTAGACACTTGGGGTCGTAACAGTAATTCAAAACCCTAATGTATATCACCACCAGATAACAACCCAAGAAAGCTTAAAAAGTTTGTTTTCTTCAACATCTCACAGTGTCAATGCTGGTAAAATAATGAAAGCTCTTTATTTTTTCATTTTTTTTCTCTCTGCTGTGGCAATCATCGTTCTTCTTCAGAGAGGAGCCTAAGTGAGGAATTTTCCCCAGCAGAGATGATTTTTTTTTATTTTGATTCTCATTCGTAATCATATACCATCTTGGTTATTGAAACATTTTGAAATATATTCAATGTGTCCTTTTTCTCTACAACCAAATCATGATCATTTAAAAGCTCTGCTATTGTTTTTTCCCATTCTAATTGTTTAATTGTCTGATGTTTTACACAGCCTACAATTATATTTGAGGTAGAGTAAAGTAAGAGTAAACCAAGTATTTGGACAATAAAAATAAATTTGTATTTCAGATCAAAGGCTTATTGAATTTCAGGTTTTGTTTCTGGGTATTACTTTGCATACATGCTTAACAATGTTAGAACAATGTCATTTGTTTTGTTCAATCTCCCTAATTTAGGTGAACATAAATATTGGGAAAAATGGCCGAAAGGTGTTTCTAATTGTACACGTCTTCCATGTTGCTTTAATTGTGAAAACATAATAGGGCTATGAATGCATACTCATTATTCCAGCCTTTAGAGTTTTTTTTTGTGAAAAGGCAAGTATTTTGTATTAGAGGTTATAAACCAAGATGAAGGCTAGAGAATAATGACAGAAGAGGAAGCATTTGTGAAGATGAGCGCAAAGGAAATTCCAATTAGAACCATTGCAGAGAAATTGGGCAATACAAAATTAACAATATGGAATGTCTTGAAAAATAAATTATTGGAGAGGTATGCAATTGGCAAAGATCAGGCTGTCCAAGGAATATGAGAGAAGTTAAGTTACAGAAAATCCATTCGAGCTGTGAAGAAAACCCTTAAAATAACAGTCGAAGAGGTTAAAGACTATCTTCAGTTTGCAGGGGTGAAATTATTTCAATTCACTGTGCGCAGAAGACCTTAATATGACACTGCAAGATGCAAACTTCTCATCAGCACTAAAAACAGAAAGGCCAGATTAGAATTTGCAAAGAAATACAAAAAGGAATTCTGAAATAAAGTTTTACAGACTCTCTTTGTAATGATCCATGTCTGTGAAGCGTGCTGGAGGTCATACCTTGGGCATGCTTGGCTGTCTATTGACCTGGATCATTGTTTATTGATGAAGTAAGTGATGATGGCAGCTGCAGAATAAAGTCTGAAGTGTACAGAAACATCTTGTAGCCCATGTCCAAAAAAATCCCTCCAATTAATTGAGCGGCAATCCACCCTGCAGCAAGACAATGACCCAAACGTACTGCACACTTAACCAAGGATTTTATCCGGAATCAGTAGTGTTGCACTGGTCAAGTACATTTCCTGATTTGACTTCTGCTGAGGTTGCATTTAACGTGTTGTTGAGGAAGAAACCAAAGTCAGTAAACCCCACAAACAAGCAACAACTGAAAGTGGCAGCAGTTAAAGCTTGGAAAAGCATCATAAAAGAATATATCAAGAATCTTGTGGTTGATGGGGTACAGAATTGAAGCAGACATTTCATGTAAGGGGTATGTGGCCAAATACTATGTCTACAGTACTTTAAGTTAGTTTGTCTAAATACTTATGGTGACCTGAAATGATAGAGAAGGAACATAAAACATTTTTAACATATGTGCACAAAAATGTTCAGAAATAAAAGCTAATATTCTGAACTTCTGCCTTATATGTATGTTTTAATCTGAAATACAATTTTATTGTCTATAGCAAAAATGACAAATTGTATTTGACTTTTCAAATACTTATGCATTTCACAGTAAATTTTCATTTTACCTTTATCTCCACAAAAAGATTAAAAGGAAATTCCACTTGTTTATGCAGCACTTTAGTACAGTATGTACTATGCCTTTATTTCTTTACTAAGTGTCCAATTATACTTTATATGGAGGCACCAAAATAAAATACCACTACTAGATTTTGTCAATTACACAAAAAGCTGGATAGTACTTCCACTGTTACCATGTCAGACCCACCAATAAAGTTGAACTCTGATCCCACAGTCCAAATGTTGTGTATAGGTCAAACAGCATCTCTAAATTAATTCAGGTTGGTAGCTGTGTCAGCATGCGTAGGCTGCAAAGGAACAAGTAATAGGTTTATTCCATGTTTAAAAAAAGAGGAGAGAAAAAACAAGTTTCGGCCATGGAGCCTTTTGACACCTGAAACGTTGTGTTTTTTCCCCTCGTCTTTTTTTCAGCATGGAATAAACCTATTACTTATCTCTAAATTAATGTAGAGTTTGTGTGTGGCTTGCAATGGGTCATCTTATCCTGCATTGTATCCACTGTCTGCTGGGGAAAGCTATGGCTCACTGCAACACTATTGTCACCATGCAGAATATTTCCAATGTAAATGGTGAGCAAATGCCCTTTTTTCATCTTGGAATTTCCCATATTACAGGTACTGCACTTTCAAAAAGATTAAACAGATAAATTAGAACAGTGTGATGTTTCTAGAATGGTGTTTTGATTTTCAGTCTTCTAATACATGGTTTGTCCCTCAGAGATTGTTCCCAGTTTCTCTGTAGGTTTATGGTTGATGCAGACTATCGTATTCTTTAGGCAACTTCTCTTCACACTTTCAAACATGCATTACTTATACAGAATAAGTCATTTTGGCCATTTTAACTCTACCTGTTATACAATGGCATTAATTCTCAGCTCAGTACATTATTAAAAGGAAGAAAAACACTCCAAAACACTTAATAAACCTGTTTATTTGTTGACTGTTTAAAATTTAAATACATTTAAATTGTTTGTATGCAGTGAGATAATTCAAACATGCTTTTTCATTGTGTATCAGTATAAACAGGCAATTGTACTGATTATAACCATGGGTTAGCATTCAATATGTTGTAATGTTACTACAATTACAAAAGTGAGTTTTGCCACTCACAGCTCACAGATATATGATCAGCCAAACAAGCCATATGAATGGCTCCTCTTGTTTGTAAACTTTCTGGATTCCAGTATGGGATAATTTAGCAGAGTAAGTACTATCCAATCAGAAAACAGTCGGCTAACACTTTAAGTTACATTCTCATATACTGTAGGATGAATAAAGGTTTTAAAAGGTCCCAAACCAATCATCCCTTAGTTGCTGTGGTTTGAAGCTAAACAGATTTAGCACAATCTGTTGTCAAAACACATGCTCTTCAGGCTTGGAATCAATCCAGCTGCCCTATATGATGCAGAGGACAAAAGCGAATACTATTCCAGAAACAGCCTCAACAAATCACCCAGAATCACAAACTCTTTTCAAAGATATTGTAAATTCTTAGTATCTGTGCGCCTTGTTTGTGAATGTTGACCGAGTTCTAAAAAGCAAAAACACTACACTACTTGGTGTACTCGTATTCTAGCACACATTTATAGGTATACACTGTGCACTGTGCATTCACTACTATTTGCCTTGAAACCACCTCTTTCTAAACAGAAGCACAAACATAAGCATGGTTCTTCAAATGTTGGAAAATCAAGACGCACATAAAAAAAGCACACAACAAAAAATGTTCAATGACAAATTTATTTTTTCTTCTGTTGTACATTTATGTGTACAGACTGAAATAAAATATAATCTGTAAGTATATGCATTGGAGTTGATTATAGGAAAATCTGAGTCTCTTCACAATGGATACAGAGACAGATTGCTGCATTTGTGTTTTCTTACATTTATAACATCTTCCTCTTCTCAAATTCCTGTGGAAAAGACAACAATTATTAATTTTACTGAAGCAGACAAAATTGGGCTAGTCAATTCCTTTACATCTTTAAGGACAGATGATGGTATAAAGCAGTTTCAAAGTGGATTTACTTACTTTAAAAAAAGTACTCCTACTTCAGAAAATATTTGTTCTGGGGGATGAGGTTCTCAGGAGTGAACAGATTAATCACAAGCATGGTTCATATTAAAAAAATCACACCCTTCAAACTGTTTAATGACCATTAAGCTGATGATATATTACTTACAATACAAGACATTTGTTAAGGGGAGTACTGGAGGTCTTCTACAAGGTGTTTAAAACACTCCATTACATTCTTTCAGGTTTAATGTTTCCAGACATTTTGAGAAAAAAAAAATCATAGAGACTTGTCAAGTGATGTTATGCCACCATGTGGTAAGAGAAGGATAGTGCTTACAAAGGCAGCACATAATTTCAGAGATTTTTGTAGAAAATACAAAATCACATTAATAGTTTTTAGCATTAAGAATTAAGAATCAATACTCCTATTATATACACAAAAAGCAATGAACCACACTGCTGGTTTGTTACAGTGAAAATTGTTTTTTGTAGTAATGTTAAAAACCCTAAAACTGATTTTGTAGACATGGCAATTGAAGGCGTTTAATCTTTAAAAAGATTTCTTAAACAAGTAAGTTAAAATCTATACTAAAAACAGCCAAAAAACATAGCCATTTAAATTCATGAAATAAAATTTGAATGATGAGGTAAATAAAGCACATCAGAGACAGACATTTTCTCAGTACAGCATCAGTTAAACATAGACATCCATATTAGTAGAATGAGAGTATAGGTCAATGTTTGAAAAGGAGAAAAACCCAGCTTTCCTAATAAGCAACCACAGACAATTGTAACCATATTACTATGAATACAATGACACCATAGTATGCTTTTTATATAACTCTGTCCTTGAATTTTTACAGACAGCTCTGGCAGTATTGTGAAATTGCACACTGAAAAATTGCCATACATTAATAACAGAAAAAGAGAAGAATAAAATCTTGTGTCAATAAAGCACTGAAAATGAAAGCGCTGTACAATTAAACCTAAAAATATAGTAGGCTTCACTGCTTATTTGTTTAAAAGGATTTTTTTTTTGCTACCATTGTTACACCAAAGACATTTTGCATTAGCTTTATAGTTTTTACACATAACTGAATGTGAATAATTGTTAAATGCTGAATAATTAGTTAGGTTAGACATAACAAATAAGTGGCAGACAACGGCATTTGATCATTTTCAAATTCACTATAAAAAAATGCAGTTTACAGTACCAACCCATAATAATTTTTTTCACATTATTTTTTATTTGAAAGACTTACTGAATACAAATCACCTAGACAACAGGGTGATGCTAATAATTCAAAAGGCTCAACCACATCTGATCATTTACTGCCATCTGCTGATAAAAAAGGTCAAGAGTAATGCTTACATGGAATCTTTTTAACAAGAATTCCAGATTTAATTTGGATTTGGAATTAGTAAATATCAAAGATTTGCTATTGATTTATATGAAATGGCGTATATGTGGGTAGACGTTACTACAGCAGCTGTCTTATTAAATCTAAACTTCATCACACTGTTAAACCTTAGGAGAGTCCCTTGTTGCTTACTGGATGTTTGGCATTTCTCAGTGGCTCTCTAGAGCACTCTCACAAATGCGAAATTTAAAGTGCCCATGGTCCACTGCTATGAGGATCTGACTTTATAATGAAGTGCTTGAACCCAAAGGATTTACAGCTCCTGGATAGCAGGCAGCCTGCCAGCCTGGTAGTGACTAACTTTGGAGTTTCACTAATGAGAAGGGCTGACCAAACAGCCAGAAAACAGCCACTTTGGAAGGCAAATGAGAAGAGCAAATGAGAGTTTATAAGAGAAAGAAAAGACAAGACAGTGCCCTGAACATAACTGCTGCCATGATAGGAAATTATATTTAAATGAGCACCAAAAGGAAATATAATCATTAAAGGGAAGAAAAATGCAACATGAAAGGACAATATACAAACACATGCAAGTTCATGCATCCTATGGACATATAAACACTTACAAATACTTAAAACATTAATAATATATTATCTTAATATGAATCCTTTTCTTTTAATTTTATAAATCACTTAGGCTAGCTTAAATAAACCTGCTGCTTAGCATCCTTATCTAAGACACTTAAAAACAAAACATTGTCAGTGATGATTTCTAAATACATTTGCATAGTAAATGAAAGTGTGGTTTTCTCCTCAGACCAAACTTATGCATTCTCACCTTGAACATGGTGCTGCCTAACTGTGCAGGGGACATACTGACTACCACTCCAGCCTGCTGCAGGGCAGCGATCTTCTCCTTCGCACCTCCTTTTCCTCCAGCAATAATGGCCCCAGCATGGCCCATTCGCCTGCCTGGTGGAGCGGTCAGGCCAGCAATGAATGACACAACAGGTTTGGCATCAGGACCCTGAAAAACATAAAGCACCAAGATATTCAAATCCTTACTCAAAGCACTTCCCCTGAACCTTTCTCAAACCAGAAATGCACATAACACAGTGCTGCAAATTACTTATGGCAACAAAAAGCAAATACAATACAATTGGGTATTCATACTGTGTTTGTTCTAGGGGGCAATAAGCATAAAGCTATCTTCATTTTAAATTCTAGAATGAATATAATGTGTTGTAATTCCATTTTAAATGTTTTATTCTGGGATGGATGTTCCATTCTGTCACTCAAAGCCAGGACCCAAGAGCTGTGAAGCAGCCACGTGAACAACCACAGCTGCATACAAGCATGTTACATTAACATTAAATAATAAACAACTTTAAGCAGGCAGCTGCTCAATTAACTGCATTGTTTTTTTTAAATTTAATTATTAATTCCCAAGGCGCATGATGGAGCGCAGTGGTGAGCATTGCTGCCTTGCAATGCTGTAGCCCTGGGTTAAATTCTAGACCAATTCTCTCCATGTTTGCATGAGTTTTTACTTGGTGCTCCCGGTGACCCCGAGTTAAAGTCCCGAGGTGATGGATCGATTATTAATTCCAGCATTCTATATTTTGATTAAAAACAAATAAGCCTTGATACTAGTACCTACATCTGCCAATTTAAAAAACAAGTACAACAATAACAGAAACAGAAGTATACCAAAGACACTAAAGATACATTTTTAAAAGTTTTCATAATAAAGTTGTTGGGGTTATCATAATTTACTCAGGCACACTTATTCCTTTTTTTGTGTTATATTTTACTACCTTTTTGTTCTTATGATTACACCACCTACACTTTCAGCCTTTTTTCTTTGTCACCTCTGTGTAACAGATGACTTCTTTACACAATCAAAATAAAACTTCTTTGAGGCTCAAGCTAAATTTTGTGAGATTAAGTTACATGGTATTGAATCGATTATAGTGTCTTGAAGGATACTGTCCTTGGTGATGCTGCATTGAAACTGAAAAGATTAATTTCTGAAATGCTACTATTGTCTAAATCAAAAATCCTATTAACATGTATAGATTTTATAGCAAATCATTCCTTCTATTGCAATGGCCTTGTTTTAAATCTATTTTATTGTCTTTCTACCAAGAATAATCACCTATGTCAGACAGCTGTAAGACTGCACTAGGTCAAATGTTAAATGAAAGGATTAAGGGTAGACATGAATCTTATTAGCTTTTAATAACTCTTTAATTTTTCAATATAAATGCATTGCATGAAATGCAAAAGCACTTTATATATGCATAAGCAAGATTAATACCTCTTACTAATATCAGACACTCACCCAAAGAACAAGATTAATACGTAACACTAAAGCAACAAAAAAGTATTGTATTTTGACAACTAAAACAAATGTCAGGTTTTGCACAGTTTACAACTGAGCCAGTAATATTCGCAAGAGGCACAAAATCATTTTACAATGTATATTGTCTTTGAGCTAGAGTTGTTATTAATATATCTTCATTGATTAGGGCCTCCTGAGGAGTTATTTTTCTTGCATGAGGTATTCATACATAATGGATTTATTTGCTCATCATCTGCATTACCTTTATAAATTAATAAAATAATTTATTCTGTCATACAATATCCTTATCAACAAAACGGAATGTTCTGAAATTAAATGTATAGCTGACACCAAATATATCAAGGGTATGCAGTTAAAAAAAATGCAAGAAAACATTCAGTATCCACTGCATAAATAAATAAAAAGGTGACAATTGTTTTACTATTGTTATTGTTTATAATTGTTATACTAAAAACTCCATTCAAAATAACTGCTGACTTTCCTAATTATACAATGCTCAAAATCTGTTGATCTGTTGATCATTCTGTTGATCTTTCTTTGAATTTCCTTAACATAGAGAAGGTGCAACATGAAAGAGTTCTCCAAATCCTTCAGATTAAACAACACTTGCTCTTGTGAACTGCTTTTGTTACTTTATAGCACAGATGTTCTGCTGGATTGCAGACTGGTGATTGGCCATCACAATCGCAGTAAATCACAGTACATTTGGTGTTTTTCAGGTCATACTGCCCAAGAGAGCCGACTACTGGAGAGCACACATGGGTGCAAACTTGAGTGTCTTAGCAATAAAACAAAATTTCTGTAGTAGCCACACTCTTGGAGACTATCCAAACATTCAATCTGTGTTCGTTTTGAACACATCACATGGTTCCATTTGACTTTTGAGTCAATTAGTTGCTACTTGGAAAATTCATTTTTCTTTTTGCATTTCCACGGAATTGTACCTCAGACCCCAGATTCATGAGGAGAATCACAAATGGTAGTCTTAGGGACACTGTATCCCAACAATATATAGCTTTGCTGAATATTCCCAATTTCTGCCCTTGGGCATGATTTATCCCCCAAAACTCATTTTTCTGACGTACATTACAATAACTTGCCTTTGTTCTACCTATCCTTTCAGAGTTGGGTTTCTTCGTGATGGATGTCTTATAGATTTTTATTATATTGATCAGTACAGTTGTTGACGTCTTAGGTCTTTGAACTATTCTAGTTTTCCCATGCTGAAGTAGTACTGTGTATTTTACTTGTGCTCAGCAACCTTGAAAAGCAATTAAGTTGACTTTCAGGCTTTTATAAACTTTCTGAGGCTTTGTGAAACTACATGATCACTGAAAAACAGATGATTACACTGACTTTATTGACATTTATTTCACTGTGTGAATTTGTTATGTTTTTGTTTCATCCAATACTGACAGTATTGGAAAAATTAAAATTCCATTTTATCTTTGCAACATACCGAGTGTTTCTTTTGCTGAAACTAATTTTCAGATATCAAGGTGGGCAGAACAATGCACAGTGGTTAGCACTGCTGCTTTGCAGTGTTTGGTTCCTGGGACCTGGGGTGCTATCTCTGTGGACTTTGTATGTTTTACCAGTGTTAGCGTAGGTTTCCTCCAGGTGCTCCAGGTTCCTCCCGTAGTCCAAAGACCTAATGGTAGGATAAATGGCTTCAGGGAAAATTAGCCCTGGTGAAAGTCTGGTGTACGTGCCTTTATGTCTGTGTCTGAGTGTGTCCTGGGGTGGACTGATTTTCCAGTTAGGGTATATTCTGCCTTGAGCCCATTGCTTGCCAGGATAGGCGCTGGCAACACCCCCCCCCCCCAAATCCTGTATTGGATAAAGCTGTTAGAATGAATAGATGGATCAAGGTTGAGTTAACTGGAAACCAAGTATATGTCTCATATATTAAAGTATTTTTAAATATATACATTTGCAGTGTTAAATTTCAAGTAACAATTTTATGAAGACAGGTAAAAATCCTGAAGGGCTGCTAAAGTCATTCAAATTTTATATAGTCTGCTTGAGTGTTACCCTATCCTTATGATTCCCAACGGCAGGTAGTAGCTGCTAGTATATGCTTCAAATGCAAAAGCTATTAAATGTTTATTGTTAAATAAAATAGCATGTGTTAGCTTTCAATCTTAGAGTGCTTGAGACAGCCACATTTTTGTTTAATTGCTTGATATAAATCATTTAGATTTCTAGCTCATCATATCCCTCAGACAATTTCTTCATAACCTCAAAATATTTTAAACATTCCAAGGATATGACAGCACATTCATATTAAACAAGGAACACTAAGTGTCAGTAAGTAAAATCAAAAGTTACATTTGAACATATAAATTGTTACAAAAGTCCTTGAAACTCACTCATGCATTCTAACTTTAGAAGACCACAAATGTTAAAAGAACCTTTTAAGCAACAGAAAGCAACAGGCCCCAAGAGTGTGTATATAAATGTCAAAGACAAATACATATCCTTACAGAATTATGTTGTTTTAGATATTCTGCAGCATCTTCCTCTGCATTTCCTCCAATCTCTCCAATCAGGATAATTCCCTCTGTTTTTGGGTCCTTCAGGAAAACTTCGAGGCAGTCAATGAAGTTTGTTCCATTGAAAGGATCTCCACCAATTCCTAACAAAGATGTAGAGTTTAAAAACAGTGATAAGGTGTTTTGAAAACTGTATTAAGGTAAATCCAGTGGAGGAATTATTTCTTGATTACTCCACTGTTGTATTATACTATGTCAAACATAACACATAGAGCATAGTAGCTCAAGTGATAAAACGTTCATCGTTGGACTTTGCTATTTGCAAGACAAAATGCTTTATGGGTCTTGAGGCGATTTAGTTGTAGAAGTGTTAATTAAGAAAAAAACAGTTCACATACTCACCTATACAAACTAGCTAATGACTTTAGATGACCTAACATGCATGCATGTGTTCATCTGTTTCTATATATAATCATTATTGGCCCTTGAGACATTTTACTTTAGGAACAAAATCTGAAACTATAAAAGCCAAATGAAACATCCCTATCAGGAAAAGCTTTAGACCTCTTAGCACTTTTAAATGCCAGCTAAAAAGAGAAGTCCAGCAAATGTTCCAATACCCTTACTACATGGAAGGTATGTGTGCACATGGCTAATAACAGCATAGAAAGAAGATAAATCATAGGAAGAAAGAACCCAAGGCTGATTTTGCAATTTTCACTGTTGACCCCACCTTGGGCTCAGAGGAAACCTGGGCTCTAGGTTCAAACCAGAAGAAGCTTAAGCTACAGAAAAGCTGCATTAAATTGTGGAAGAAAAAGTCTAAATCAGCAACATCACAAAAACTCAGTGTTAACAAGGGTTCATGTTAACATAATCAGGTTGTTTTATTAATTTTGGAAACAGAATAATTTTTGTTCTTGCTATTTAATTTGTAAAGTATATATAAACATAGGCATTATCACTGATTGATAATGCCTATGTTTATATATACTTTACAATATATAAAATTACTGTTACAAATTCACTTTATTTGAGGTCATTCTTCAAATTCCATATACATGTTTACCACATTCAACGTACTTCTCCTTTTCAATTTTATATAGTTGATTTACAATTATTTGTGAATACAGTATATAAAAAAGTATTCTCTTGACTCAATATCAACATTGTTTTTTTAATCTGCTGATCATCTCTCCTTCAGACCAAGGACAAGTAAGTTTAGAGGCACACGAAGCACACGAGATTTGTAAAGATTTGAAAATTTTGAGTGCATTAAAAATACAGAAGAAATACAGTAATATAAGAACTGAAAATCATTACTTGATTCAATACTAGTGTTAATACAATTCTTAAACCAAAAAATGTGCTCTTTTGTACCAACAAAAAAGTGACATTTCCATCATTTGTTACCTTTAGTGCCTCCACTCATAATGAACGGATTTATGAATCCCAAAGGTATTGTGTCAAGGTCAACAGAAATCTAGGACCACATTTAAAGAATAATGCGGATAGTTCAACAGGTAATTTGCTGTTTTAAATAAATTTTAAAATATTCAATAGGAAACTTTGTACCTATGAAATGACCATTTCAGAGGTAACAAAAAATGGAAATTTGACATTTTGTTCACAAATGCAGTAAGCAGTAATTGCAATTATTTTCTGTGATAAAAAAAATAGGAAAGGAAAGGAAAGGAAAGGAAATTTCTAAAAATCAACATCAAATTTTAAACCCAAGGAATCTAGTGCAGTTTCCCAGGCCTATAATGTCCCGTTTCTATCCTTATGAAAAAATACAATGGATAGTTGCATGTTGCATGTAGACAATATCAAGACAGACAAGGGACTATTAGTACCAGGCCATGGAAAGCAGAGGTCAGCACAAGGCAATCCTCTCTTAGTGGGATTATTGGAAAGAAAGGAAACCTCTTCTTAAAAACCATATAAAAAGATCTAAAACAAACTACTCCCAAAGTAATCACAACCGGAGAATCCAACACCATAAAAAGTAGCCTGGACCTCCTTCGGAGGAATAATTCACAAAACTCTACATGGTACCAGTGAGACCAATTAAAAAACATCTCTTAGGTCTTAAGCAAATTTTGTGAGTAAAACTGAAGTGACTCATCTGGTGGTCAGGGCTCCTTGAAGTACAAAACAAGTTACAGCTATCACAATAAAAGTATTCACTTGCATGAGGATTATCCCTATCCAAACACCATTAATCATTAGTGGTTTATGTAATTTTAATTGTATTTCAATTTTATTTTTTAATATGTAAGTATAGCCTGCAGACACCAGTTCTGTTTATTCCACTACCTGCATTTGACATATTGTGCTGAAGAACAGACAGAACTTCTGTGCCTTTGAGAATACCTTTAGTACACATTGAAGAACAAAGGCAAAAACAGAAAAATAGGTACTTGATACAATATAACTTGAATAGAGACCCTGGAATGTACCAGGGTGTTTGTCTTTCAAAGTGTCTGCAAGTGTACAGATTCCCATTTTAGACCACTGAGGGAGATCAACTGAGCCAGACAGTGCAGCTAACCCCATCCATGTAATTTTCAGGTCTGAATGAAAGCACAGTAGCAGATATACTTCAAAGAGGCATTACTTACCAACACAAAGAGACTGTCCCAACCCAACCTGTGTGGTCTGATGGACTGCTTCATATGTGAGGGTCCCTGACCTAGAGACAATTCCTGATGAAGAAGTATGAAGTTTTTCTTAATATTCATCTGTGTTTAGATTTTATCATTACCATCATCATAACCTTTACCCGGTAAGGAAATCCTTAATGTGTTTGTTTTGAATGTTTTCATTGTACTGTGGCTATCAAAAATATTAATACCCCTTGAGTTGACATGTAATGGAAGTAACTTTGGCTTTGACTTTTGTCCTGCTCTAAGATTAATCTTCTCCGAACTCACAAGTCTCTTGTAGACTGCAACAGGTTTCTAGAATTTCTCTGTAACTTTCTGCATTTATTTTGCCTTTTATTTTCACAGTTCTTTTGGACCCTGACACAGCGAATAATCCCAAAAGCATGATGCCCCCACCACCACACATCATGGTAGGGAAGGTGAAGAAAGATGTACATTGTTATGCTGGCTCCAAAAATAGTGCTTATAACAAAACAGCGATTGGAGTGTGGCAACATTCTCTCTTTCAATAAAGTTTCTTCAGCTACAGTGCTCCTGCTACTGGCTTGTTAGTCTTCAAATACTATATATAGTCTACAGTCTGAAACACACAGCAACTGCCTGTTTCTGCCATTTAAGATGCTGGTATTCTCTTGCATCTATCATGGTGCGGGCTAAAGTATCTAAAAACTACCCTTGGAAACAACTGTCCTTTGAAGACAGCATTACAATTTATAATTAATCTAGGAGGATCTAAATATTTATTTTAATCTTTACATTATAGAGTGTTTTGTGTCAATCAATGATATACATATCAATTAAATATGTTATGATTCCCATACTCTTAACAATAAAATGTGAAAAAAATCCAAGTGGGGTGAATACGTTTGATAGCCACTCTACGGTTCATAATGAACAACTAGAACATTCTTTTCTGTCAAGCCTTCTGCACAAAGTTTGAATTCAAATATGTATTTACATTTTTCAGAAGAATAGGAAGAAGATATCCTTACTGAATATACTATGATGGTAAAGTTTGAAAGAGCGCTAACAAATATTCAGTGCATTTTCTTCTCCTTTGAAAACAATACCTCGTTTAAGATTTATTTTTAAATATAGTATTTCAAACTCTTAACATTTATATTTTTTGAAAACATTATTATCAATATGAATGGAAACAGTATTAACATTGAATGAGTGTAGATATAAATACAGACACTATACCAGATTAATTTAATCATTTTATCTTATCTATATATATGGGCACATACTGTGTGCCATAATACACAAGTATGGACAATAATGGACAACAGATATATTTATATACTCCAATCCAAAAATGTTTCTTAAACACAATGCAACCTTCACCCTGGATGACAATTAATTACTTCACAGAGCATTTTTATGGATTTTTGCAACACCCACCTATACACAATATGTTTTCACTTTGACATAAATTTATTATTTTGGTCCAATTAAGTTATTTTCATTTTATGTGTTTACACTAAATAAAATAAACATACACCATAACCTGGGAAAAGAGTTTTGATGCTGAATAAATATAAAAATATTAATAAAAGTACAAGGATGTACTGTAGACTTGTTTGTATAGACAAATGTGGATTTATATCAGTAGGAATAAAGGGAAGGTAATTTTGAGACAATTTTTAATTTCTTTTACAGCATTGCATTTAGAAATCTAACTTAACAGATTTAACCTTTTAGATAATGGTAATTAAAATTGTTTTTGTTAAGCCAAGACTTAAAATCTGTATTGGAAGTTTCACTTTACATTATATTGATGTATATTTCAGTGTTGTGCTTTACTATAGTATATAAAACTGAGGTATTTCAGCTTGCAAAAAAAATATTGAAAAAGTTTGATGAAAACATTGTTTGTTACTACTGGGACCTAAGTGAAAGACCAAAATACGGTACTGCCTTGTTTAGTGCTGAGGATGCTTTCCAGAAGAAAGAGCAGTGGGAATCAGTGCTAATGTCAATTACAGCATGGTCACAAAGTGGATGTGTTCCCAGGAGCTTTTTTCCTCAATACATGTGAACAATGTATGAGGGCTTCACTGCCACTATCAGTAAAGGCATTCTGATATTAATTCCAATTTTAACTTACAGTAACAGAATAAATACATATAACTTGGCTATGTGTCAATAGACTCAGTCAGAGCTAGCATAGATTAAAAGATGTCTACCTTCAGTCTTCCAACTTAGTAGATTTGGATACTGATGGGAAGAGCTATATATATTTACCAGCAGCTACATCACCCTGCAACTCACAACTGGCAACCCACTGAAGTTAAGCAGGTGTGTGCCTGGCCAGTACCTGGATGGGAGACTTCCTGGGAAAGCTAAGGTTGCTGCTGGAAGAGGTGTTAGTGGGGCAAGTAGGGGGTGCTCACCCTGAGGTCTGTGTGGGTCCTAATGGCAAATATAGTGATGTTGATACTATACTGTAATGGCTTGTTTCAGAGAGACGTAAAACCGGGGTCCTGACTCTCTGTAGTCATTAAAAATCCCAGGGGATTTCTGAAAAAGAGTAGGGTTTTACACCGGCATCCTGGCCAAATTTCCCCCTGGTCTTTACCAGTCATGGCTTCCTAGTAATCCCCATCTACGATTTGGCTTCATCATTCCATTCTCCTCCCCACTGTGGTGAGTGTACTGTGCACACTATGGCTGCCATCACATCAATTGTTTGCTAATGTTCTTTTTTTAAGGCTAAACCCACAACTTTTCTGATTAGGGTATGATATTAGAGCCAAATTTGATTATCCTGTTCACAAAAAAGCACAGAAGGTACTGGTATTAAATGCAAAATCAACCGCTGCCCCACCCCGGGACAAACACAGTAACAAAATTGCAGATATTGTTACTCTCGCACCAGTAATAGAGTGCTTGAATTTAACAGTCAGGATTACTGGAGGTCAAAGCCACTATACATGGTCACGTGATCACCTGAAAAAGACGATATATCAGGAATTAAAGCAAATGGTAAGCTGCGAATAAATGAGACTGGTTTGGTTCTCCTACAACAGTGTAGTGGGGTTGAGTGAGGTAAGACCCTTAAAAAGAAGGCATTATATCTCCGAAACAAAAGCTGCTGGGAAGCTACTTTCAATGGCAAAAACCAGCACCAGTGCAGTGCTAACGAATGAAAGTGGTTCAGTTCTCCTACAACATTGTAGTGGGGTTGAGTGAGGTAAGACCCTTAAAAAGAAGGCATTATATCTCAGAAACAAAAGCTGCTGGGAAGCTACTTTCAATGGCAAAAACCAGCACCAGTGCAGTGCTAACAAATGAAAGTGGTTCAGTTCTCCTACAACATTGTAGGGAGGCTACCTCAAAACATTACTTCCAAACAGTCAGCATCATTATTGTAAGCAATTATTCTTATTATCATGAATCTCACTTACCAATTCTTCCCTTCTTATGAATATGACCAGGCATAATTCCAATCTTACATTCACCTGGCTGTAAAAATGAAATTATCTTCATTAACGAGGTATGAACCATTTAAACGTTTTTTTTTTTAACAATAATACATAAAAATGGTTACAAAGCAGAGAAGCCATGCAATCCTGTTAATTTGGTTGCTAGTAGCTAACTAATCTAAGGAACGTTCACGAGGAAACACTTCTAAAAATCTAAATATACAGTTGCAAGAAAAAGTTTGTGAACCCTCTGGAATTTCCTTGATTTCTGCATTAATTACTTATAAAAATGTGGTCTGATCTTCAACTAAGTAACAATAATAGACAAACACAATCTGCTTAAACGAACAACACACAAACAAGTGTACTTCTTCTTTTCAGTACGGAACACATCGTCACAGTCTAGGTTGGTAAAAGTATGTGAACCTCTAGTTTAATGACTTTTCCAAAAGCTAATTGGAGTCAGGTGTTCCAATCAATGAGATGAGATTGGAGGTGTGGGTTGGAGGTGTCCTGCTCTATAAAAAAGGCAAACAAAGGTGGGTTACTGACAGAGTCTCCTCTTCTCAAGAAAGAGTTCTTCACATGAACCATGCCCCAATCAAAGGAAATATCAGAGCACCTTAGAAGAAGAATGGTAAAGATGCATAAAGCTGGAAAAGCCTACAAAAGCATTTCTAAAAGGCCTGTGTGTTTATCAATACACAGTAAGACAAATTGTCTACAAATGGAGTAAATTCAGCACTGTTGCTACTCTCCCTAGGAGTGGGCCTCCTGCAAAGATCACGGCAAGAGAGCAGCGTACAATGCTGAAGGAGGTGAAAAAGAACCCTAGAGTAACAGGAAAGGACCTGCAGAAATCTCTTGAACTTGCCCAAGTCTCATGTGTCATGTGTCCACTATCAGAAAAACACTGAACAAGAATGATGTTAATGTATGGACACCACAGAGAAAACTACTGCTCTCCAAAAAAAACATCGCTGCACCTCTCAAGTTTGCAAAAGACCATCTGGATGTTCCACAATGCTTCTGGGACAATGTTCTGTGGATGGATGAGACAAACGTTTAACTCTTTGGCAGAAACGCACAATGCAATGTTCAGAGGAAAAAAAGCACTGCACACCAACACCAAAACCTCATCCCAGCTGTGAAGCATGGTGGAGGGAGTATCATGGTTTGGGGCTGCTTTGCTGCCTCAGGGCCTGGACAGCTTGCTATCATAGAGGGTGATGCAACAAGACAATGACCGAAACACAGTGATAAATCAGCAACAGAATGGCTTAAACAGGAGAAAATGTGTGTTCTGGAATGGCCATGTTGGAGTCCAGACCATAATCCAATTATGAGATACTGTGGCATTACCTGAAGAGAGCTGTTCGCACAAGGAATCCCAGAAACATTAATGAACTGAAATAGTTTTTTAAGGTCTAAAATTCCTCCTCACCATTGTGCAAGTCTCCTCAGCAGCTACAGGAAACATTTAGTGGAGGTTATTGCTGCTAAAGGAGGTTCTACCAGTTACTAAATACAAGGGTTCACATACTTTTTCCAGCTGGACTGTGAATGTTTAAACAATGTGTTCCAATATTGACAAAAAGAAATACAATTGTTTGTGTAATATTAGTTTAAGCAGATTGTGTTTGTCTATGTGTGAGGATTAGACCATATTTGTATGAGTAATTAATGCAGAAATCCAGATAATTATAAAGGGTTCTCAAACTTTTTCTTGCAACTGTACCAGAAGATGTGCTCAGTTTGTGCTCCTTGTTGTTTCTTGTTCAAAGAAATATAACAAGTTTGTTGAGACCTACTAAACCCAATATGACCATCCCATAGATATTACAATACATATTATCATCTAATTTAGATCTAATTAGTATTAGTTTTTATCATATTTAATACAAAAAAACATTTCCAGAAGCATTTCCATTTTAAACATGTCTTATCTGTTCCAGACATTTTGCTTCTACCTTTACAGTTTTCTTTGGTGTTATAATACTAAAAAAATTGAATTGGGATTTTAGGTTCCATTGATATATTCTCTTACTTTCCCTTCTCTCTTTTCACTGGTGCATACAGTTCATTAATCTGTTCTCCAAAATACTGGATAATTATCTTTTTTAATAAGTTTTCTTTCTTTTTACTATTATTCTTAATTGATGTATTAGGCCATGTGGTCCACTGTTTTCTATCTTTTAATTACTCTTAGGATTAACCTGTTCTCTGCTTCATACAGAATCTATTTAAATTGTCATCCATTGCCTACTACTGTGTATCATATTCTGTTTTTTTTTTTTAATTCCGCCTCTCTTTCATAGCTTTCTCTCCCAAATTTCTAAACCTTTGTTTTGGAGTATATAAAGCCTCAAACATACTTCAGGCCACAATTAGATCACATGGTTCTTTCACGTCTGCTGTCTTTAATCTGTTATCATTAATCATTATTATCATTAAAGAACTAGACTACTAAACTAGATATAGTTTCTCTCTTTAGTAGGAGTTCTGACAAACTGATTAAGAAACCAGTTGTTAGCCATGTCTACCATTTTATTTTCAACTGCTGAAATCCTGCATGGTTTTCTCCATATCTGTGCGAGAAACATTACGATGTCTCACAATAACAACTTTTTCCTTACACATATGAAGCTGATTTCATTTCATTGCAATACAAGTTATGTCTGCATCTGGTCATCTTTACCATATTCCTAACACTGGATTTTAAATAATATTTTATATAACATTATTAAATAATATCATTTATATAATATTATAATATATACATATATAATTTATATATACTTATATAATTCTGACCCATTTAGAGTCTAAGATACTTGATTCCCCATGCTTTTGTGCTTGAATGCTATATTTGATTACAGTACTACACCTCTTTATGTCTCTATGGTAGGTATTCCTATGTAACTATTGAATATGCTTAAAAAGAGAGTGTACAGATTGTGAGACTATCAGCAGGACACACAGTTTTATTTTAAAGGCAGTTGTATGTGTTAATAAGAATCTACAACAGAATATTTACATTTTAGAATTATATTTAAACATTGAGTACTACAGTATTGTGCTTCTGTTACCTATATACACATAAAATATTGTAAATGAATACAATATTTTCTCCCCAATGTTTAATATTCTGAAATGTGAATTAAACATTAGACAACATATAATTAATGCTGCAAATTTAATTTAAGTCACCAATTTATTACAATTTATAAAACATAACCAACTTGAATCTCAAATATAGTTACTCACAAAGTAAAAATGTTTTTTAGGTACTTACATTGATGACTCCTGGACAGTTTGGGCCAATGAGACGGGTTTTGTTTTGGCGGATCAACTTGTGTTTAACTCGTACCATGTCCTGCTGGGGGATGCCTTCTGTAATACACACGGCCAGTGGAATTTCAGCATCAATGGCCTCTATGATAGCAGCACCAGCAAAGGGAGGAGGCACATAGATAACTGTGGCATCAGCCCCAGTTCCATCCTTGGCCTAAGGAAGATCATATGTATTATTTCAGTGAATGACGAGTGCACTTTGCAGGACAGCAAAAAGAAAGACAGACTCCCACATAGCTTAGCAAGTGAATGTGCTTGTTCAAATCAAGTCTATAGCCCAAAGTTATTAGTCCAAGTTTGTGCTAGCTGAACAAAACTGGTCCGAGAGTTGAGATCTACATTAGCACTGCAATTGAAGCATAATCAGCTATAATGGCTGCGAGATTCAGATTACAAAGAACTGTGTATGATTCAATAGCTTGTAGGTTAGAAAACTGCACCCATTTGTAGAGGTGGTTATTTTAATGGAGCAATCTTGATTAAGTACTTTGCTCAAAGCCACAACAACAGGATCTCACCTGGAATCTGAACCTACAACCTTCCAGTTAAAATCCCAGAATCCTAATCATAGCTCCAAAGTGCTGCCACACTTCTTCACCTGGCTCATGCTGGAATTAGGGTTGCACAGTGAGCTGAGCTGACAATGTCACATTATCATAAACCATGGCTACTTCCATAATCATAATTACACAGTCAACTACAAATTATATAGTATAATGTAGAAACATAAGGTTACCTATACAACAACCTATTGAAATAGGAACCAAAAAGGTAAGAATGAATAATACAACAAACTAAAAGCTTGATAATACAGCTAAAAAGAAAAACAAGTCATAATTATGACTTAAGAATTCAAAGTTGAAATAAAGAAATGCTTCTGAAGTCAGATTAGTTCATCTAATAAAATGACAAACTAAGAAACAATCTGAGTTTTGAGCAGTGTTTTATAGCCTTATTGAGCTTCAGTTTCTCAGATAAAGAAATGCAATAGAAACACTGGTACAATGAATAAAAGGCCAAAACCAGTTAAGAAGTACCACAAACATACTTTATGTTTAAACTAATGCTTGCATCCCTGTAAAGAAATCTAACATACAACACTTTAAATCAATCAGGATAGTCTGGACATTCCAAAATCCAACGTGCAACCATCTCTATTGATACCATGTGATTTTATTTACAGCTGAATAACAATGACAGAAAATTCATTTGGAGGTGCTATGGACATAAACACACTAACATAAATGTCCTTGAGAAAGATAAATATGGTAATAAGTGCAACCACACAGGCGGGTATTTTTTGTGCTAGGCACAATCATATGGCAGTGCCATAGCCACAGTCTTACCAGCACTTCATACCCTTTCATAAGAAAAAAGAAATGGTCAACCATGAGAGAAGAACATTTAACACATCTTCCTTATTTGCTAGTAGCCAACTGATTTGAGTGTCGTGTCTTACTTTTTCTTAAAAGCTTTGATAACATGGCTGGGTTGCTTCTTCATGACTCTTCAGTTTGTCTTTTTATAGATTTCTCATATTGTGAAGATAAAAATAAGGCTGCAACATAAACACCTAAATTCACAGGTAGCTTCTTTTCAATGACAATAAGAGGACTTCCCTACTTAAGTATCTCTGCTACATTGACCTGTCAAGAACAACAGACATAAATCCTAAATGATCCAAAGTGATCAGATAGTCATAATCTACCAATCCAACAAATGACTTGACTGAGACAGGAGACCGTTTTGTAGAAGTATAGTAGTGATCATGTGAACAATGACACCACAAAGCCTTCAGTCCCAATGCTTTCATTTACACTAAAGATGGCGTTATGGTACTATGTATTTTGTAGAGTTCATTTGTCTAATGCTTAGTATATACTATACAGTGTGTCAGCTGTGCTGTTGGTGGAAACTACTATTATAAACCGTATATTTACAAATTTGAGATTTACAATAATATAAAACAAGATTAAACCGATACCTATTCAAATCAAGATGAGTAAAATCCACTTCAGGTGGAAATAAAAAAAAGCCTGCTGCATGACTAATCAGTGCTTTCCCCCAACATTAGGCGGCAGGGTAGCACAGGTGTCATGAGTAAATTTTCAAATGTGAAAATGATTAGATGTAATTCATCCAAGTCACATGTTAATTTTGTATTGACTTAATACTGCAGAGAAATAACAAATGAAAGGTAGCTTCCACTATACATAGATGGCATTCTATAATCTAACACTTCAGAACTGGTTTGATTGCCATATCTGCTGATTGTAATTAAAATACTATGCCGTAGTAACAGAAAACAATATGACAATTTACAATATGTATTAAGAAACTCCTAATATCTCAATCTCAGATAACTCTTTGGTATTGTTCTTAATATGCATATTCAAGCAATATTAACATCTGCACTTAGACCATTCATTCTTTTTCATGAGTTATAGTTACCATCTAATTGTGTACCTGTGAATTACTTACTGGTCCGTACATCTGAACACCTTTTAATTAGAATGGAGGATTATTTGTAATGTTACATGCAAGGTAATTAGTAGCGTCAGTGTTAATATCATTCTGTTCCTCATTTCAGTTTTTTAGTAGTTTAGGTTAGAGTACTCACAGCTGTTTGTGCACAGTAATATGCACATACAATTATAGTGCAAAATTTCTCCTGACTTTTCAGAATGAAATCTTAAAACTTAAAAAATATATTTTATACTCATGTACATTTCTAGTCTTTGCAATTATTTTAGATGATCCACGTGCTTCTGGTACCTTACTATGTGTTCTCTGAACAGGTCCAATACTGTAATTGTAAATCTTTATAGTGCACTTTTATTTCTTTCTACAGAAATTCTTATGTAAATGTAAATAACTGTTACAAAATGTATGATTTTAATGCACAATGAAATTACATTATATAAAACTATGTAAATAAGTATATAAAACTATTTGATATAACTATGAAAATACTTTAAAAGATTGCCCATGGGCTTCAACAAAGTTGTTTTATCCAAAATTGTTTTATGTACACCCACATTTTTAAATTTGTTTTTATTTTTACAGTTTACACATTGAAAGCACTAGATTACCTAGAACACAGTTATTTTACAGTTGTGTAAAATGATTAAGTTTGATTGGTTTCAGGAGTTACTATATTCTGAGCCTTGCAGCCACAGGAGTAATGACTTTGAATTTTGCATGCTGATTGCCTCATAATGAAAATAATGAGGAAGATTAACATATCTCATTTAAAGGGATTAATAGTCTTTAGATCATGTGCTAACACAAGAGCATCTATAATGTGAATAGTATGAATAAAAGGGTCTCATGAAAGTTGCATAAACACAGGTCTAAATTCAATTTATCTCAGCTAATGCATGTCTTAAAAGGTAGGTAATTAAATACATGCAGCGAGTCAATACCTCCAGGTTGTATGGATATACACTACAAAGCATTACTGAGTCAACCTGTCAGAAAATATTATGGATATATGAAAGCTCAAATACGTGCCCGTTGATATTTTACCTGTCAAAACAGATTTTAATTCCAGGCAGAGCAACTCAAATACTTATTTTAACAGAATATTTTTTATGTCTGCTAAGTTTAGGCAAAAGGTAGAAAGACATCAAGTCTACACGTGCTTGGTCAGTTGGAGACAGTCAAAAATCAAACATTCCACCTTATTGGGTCTGTGCAGACAAATACATGAAGGTCAAAGATCCAGATAAACACATCTTTTACTTACATTTAAGTCAAAGATTTCAATAAGTAGTATGCAAAATAAAATAAACATTAAATGTATTTTATTCTTAACGCTCAGAAAAATATATTGTACCTGAAGTATTGTAATTATAAAAATCCCTGTAGTTGCCCTTTAAAATATACTAACATATGAGCCACTGTGTACTGTATTGCAATAATGAATTTAAAAAATGGTCAAAGGAACCTATAGACCTAAAAATCATAACACTAAATAGTAGCACAGCTTTGAAATAGCTGAGACTGTGCATCCACCTAGAATTTCTCTTCTATGTTGCCAATGACGGCAAAATAATACTTACTAGATCAGTCAGTTCCTATTTTAAATCTGCATCTTTGATTTTTCCTTTTTTAATCAGAAAGAAATTCTGTATTCTAGACTAAATGAGATTTACAGCTTGTAAAAAAACAAACCACCACCATCAAATTGAGATCTTAATAGAAGGTCTTCTTTAGTACCATCTCTTAACAGAGGAAACATTCTCTACTGCATTAAGTTCATTCCAAAACCATTTAAAATTAAAAATCATTTTTAACCATACATATTTATTCAATTCATTCTTACTTTTCCACAGTTCCACATTATGTATTTAAAAAGGTAAAAAAAACAAGATAATTGTTACCTCTTTCACAGAGTTGAAGACTGGCAGACCTAAGTGGGCTTTACCCCCTTTTCCAGGGGAAACTCCTCCAACTAGTTGTGAGCCATATTCCAGAGCCTGCTGACTGTGAAAGGTTCCCTAGAAAACAGAATACCTGTCACATTGTGCACAATGCTGAGGTACTTAGAGAATTCAATTTTACAATTCAATGCATCTTTCGGTCTACACACTAAAGTTCAAAAAGAATTATGTAGCACATTTCCGTTAATCAGTTTGTAGACATGCCTAGTTGATCTCGCAAAGAATCACAAATGGTCTCAGAAAATCACAGAAAAAAGAGAAGTCAATCTAAATGCTTTAAATGGTACAATTAGCAGATGCGTCTAACATTTTATTGAGTTCCTTTTCACCTAGAAAATTTCCATCTTTACAAGAGTTGTATTTCTTTTATTCACACCACTTTGTTCCTCTGTTATAAACTTTCCTGTGATACAACAAAAATAAATGGAGGTATGGCGATTTTTACCCACCTCCTAATCCCTCAGTTGTCAGCTGGCAGCTTTAGAGGGGGCATACCAAAAGTGTGTACATTTTCAAACCAAACTTTAATAAAAGTCCTACCAACATTTTAGCAGCTTCATTAATAAATAAACAAACAAGATTATTTCAGTGTGGACCCCTTGCGCCTTTGGTGAGTCCTCGAACAGTTTGCTGCTTTAAGTAGCATATAAACCATTGTGAGTTCTGTCAATAACTGGTTCCAGGAGAGACCAAAAAAAAAAAAAGATGTCATATGTGAAAATATCTATTCAACATTTAAAATTAAAATAAAATTAAAAGTTGTGGTGTCAATGTCCCAAAAGACGGCAAGTTCAGGAAGATATACTTTCCATCTCTCAAAAAATACTCATAACAGCTTGTGCTGAACCTTACAGATGGATCTTTAGTTAATCTAAATAAATATAGTGAGGTCAGTTTGGGGCAGTTCAAACCATTTTCAAGGCAGATCAAGCAACAAGAAAAATTCACTATCTTCATCACTGTAGTCATCACTTATTTTAATTCTTAATTATTAAATTAAGAATTTCAAATGTGGGCACAAATATTTTTTTATTGAACCATACAATGAAAAATTACCATTGGGTGACCAATTTGTTCCCAAATTATCTCTACAATGCCCTTCTATTTAATGACCATAGCAGAGGCATAGCCTTTCTGTTAAACAAATCCATAAATGTATTTGAAATGTGTGCTGAAATGAACTCTTTGCTGTCTTAAGAACCACCATTTTGTCCAAAACATCAGACCTTCCTCTTAAGTGTAAAAAACATGATAAATGACATGCATTGTAAGGTCTCCTGAAAATCAAAAGAGGCTGGCACTGCTAAAGTAATATTGTAAATGAACCAACTGAATTGTATTTCCAAGTCAAAGAGGTTTCACTGGGTAATAATTAAAAGACTGACAGAGCAGACAAGCATAGTTATTGTATTTTTAAAACTGTTTCTTCACAGTTACTTAGACTTCCATTATGTTGGATATGTAGCCAATGCCTGTTTCAGGTAATTTTTCAAAAATGACAATTAAAAAATAACACCTTCAGGAGACTGTTCTGACCTTAAAAAAATTAACAATAAGCCAGGATAAGAGGAAAATCTTATCAAAAGTAAATCATCTGCTCAACTAGGATGCTAAACTCAAGTATACAAACAAACCTAAAATCTCAAGGTGGGACCAGAATAGTTGTTGTTAGATTGCTAGATCTCAACACAGTGATTCCACTGCCATCCCAAAGGTTCACAAAGCTAATTTACCTGAGGCCTTTTCCTGCGTTTTTGGACATATTTTTCTTTCAACACAATTAGGAATGACCAATACTTTTAGAACTGCACTTACTGAGTCCCCTGCGCTCACAGCAGAAATGACATGAATTGAGAGACCAGTCCAGCTGTTACTGACTAAACTGTAAAGTGCCTGGTACCCCGCAGATCAAGCAGCCAATGTGACAAACCTACAAAATCCCACTGACATTGAGCCAATTGTGCTCTAGCACCTGTATAATTTTGGTCACAGATTGCCAATGACATAGCCCACACTCAAGTTTCTTGACTACAGGACTCAGTCAGCAACTGAGAGTGATTTTATGTAAAATATGTCAAATTGGAGCTTGACTGATTGGACCAGTGGTTCACAATCTACAGAGGGTCAAAGTAATGAACAGACCTGCTGACATTCAAACTGCTGTATCTCAGGATCTATTTGAGCAAGACAAATGTTTTTTTGCAATTTATATTGAAAATTGCTCAGTCAGTATAGTTTTATCGAAATTACAATAAAAAGAAAGTTATGTTACCTTGCTAATTGCCCCTTGACCAAACATTTTTTAAAAATGAGAAAAACAGAATATATTAATCTGGCTTTCTTTACTGCTCTGGCAGAAAACTATATAGCTGTGACCACCTAAGATGCTCTAAGAATATTAAGAAGCCTTTTCAGGGTTTATTTTGTCATTATTATATTTTTATAATTGCAAATGTATTCAATGTTGTATGTTTAAAAATGATTATATTTTATCATTATCTGTCCAAAAATACTGGGATGATTTTCCATTGAATGCTACTGCCCAACATCTCGCACAGCCTAGGTATTTAGTGGTACAGGATAACATCTTTAACATATAAATTCTTTGTAACTAGCCACAGGAACAGAAAAGTGACAGAAAATTACATTTTACCAAAATAATTTGATGGAATTAATCACAATTTATTGTTTTGATTAATATATTTGTAATGAACAAAAGTATGTTCAACTCAGAAGATAGAGAACAAAGTCAGGATTTTAAACATGTGCTAAGCTTATGAGGTAAAAAATCTAGATAATGTTCTGACATTAAAAAATTGCAACAGATGTTTCAATTAAACTATGAAATATCCAGTA